GCATTAGCATTTTTTAAAATCTAAAGTAGAGGCTGTCCACCAGGACCTCTAAATACAGTGGATCGAGCAAAGATGTCCAGCACTCCGTCTCGCCCAGTGAGACTTGAATTCTTTCAGCCTGTGATGCCAGATATGGTGGACAAAGTGCCTGATAGCTGTCGGGCCACCACCTCCTCTCTTGACCCTTGCCTGGCATGGCTAATCAAAGCAGCCAGGCCTATAACAACGGAATGGGCCACAGTGATAATTAATTGGTCTCTCCAGGAGGGCAAGGTCCCCCTCGCCCTCAAGGAGACTCTCATTAGGCCCATCAGGAAGAAACCAAACTTGGCAGCAGACGATACTGGCAATTATAGGCCCGTCGCCAATGTTTCCTTCCTCAGCTAGGTGGTAGAGAGGGTAGTGGCTGACCACCTTAAGGCTCTTTTGGATGAAATCAATGCCCTAGATCTGTTCCAGTCAGGTTTAAGGCCGCACCACGGCACAGAAACGGCACTGGTCGCACTGTTGGATGACCTGTGAGGGAGGCTGACAGGGGCAAAATGTCCCTGTTGGTCCTCCTCAATATCTCAGCCGCCTTCGATACTGTCGACCACTGTATCCTCCTGGGGAGGCTCTCCGAGCTGGCACTTGACTGGCTCCGATCCTTCTTGGAGGACCACCCCCAGACAGTACAGCTTGGGGATAGTGTCTCAGCCCCGTGGAGTCTCAACTGTGGGGTTCTGCAGGGCTCGATCATCTCCCCAATACTGTTTAATATCTATATGAGGCCACTGGGTGTGTGGGGCCTCGTGCCATCAGTATGCTGATGACACACGTCTCTACATCTCCTTTTCACCTACTTCAGTGGATGCTGTTTTGTCTCTTCAGCGCTGTCTGGGGTCTATGGATGCAGGAAAATGGTTTGAGGCGGAACCTGGACAAGACGGAGGTCCTGAGGGTGGGTGGTGCCTCCATTGGCGGCTTGGGAAACTCCCTCTCCTTCGGGGGGGGGGACTCTCACCACAAAGAGTGAGGTTCACAGCTTGGAAGTACATCTGGATCCGGCACTCACCATAGAAACCCAAGTGGCATCAGTGGTCCGCTTCACCTATTAGCAACTGTGGCGGATTGCCCTATCTTGATGGCGGGGCCCTTACTACTCTGGTCCACGCGCTTGTAATCTCGAGATCAGACCACTGTAATGTGATCTACATGGCGTTACCTTTGAGATTGATGCGGAAGCTTCAAATGGTGCAGAGTGTGACAGCGAGATTACTTAGTGGAACGAGAAAACACCAGCATATCTCTCCCACTCCAGCTGCCTTGCATTGGCTGCCCATTCGTTTCTGCATTGATTTCAAAGTGTCAATGTTGACATAGAAAGCCCTAAACGGTTTAGGACCTCGATACCTAGCAGAACGCCTTCTCCCACCTAGATCTACTCGAGTCACTCGCTATAGCCAGGAAAGACGGCTGAGGGGCCTAACGCTGAGCGAGGCCCGGAAAGAAAGAACAAGAAACCGGGCCTTCTCAGCAGTGGCCCCTCAGCTTTGGAACAGCTTGCCATCAGAGATCTGCCTGGCACCCTCTCTGGGTGTTTCTAAGAGCCAATTAAAGACTTGGCTCTTTAGGCAGGCCTTCCCTCCTGTCAATACTTGACTCTTTTACTTTTACTTAGTCTTTTGTTCTATTTTCCATCTTGATCAATACTAACATTGTCAATTTTATTCATGGTTTTAATTGTTTTATAAATAAATAATAAATAGCATGAGTTAGCAGTTAATGGCTATGCTCCAAAGTAGAGGCGTAGGAGGGTAACAGCCAGAAAACAGGCCAATTTTGGGACAAAATTCAGAGCAAGTGTTTATGACAAGGAGCAGCAGATGGTCCAGAAACATATGCAATCATAATGCCCTAGAGGAAGAAAGTGAGGCTTGTGCAACTTCAAAAACATTCTCTCTGGACTTGAAACGCATATAATGTTGAAGAAAAGAAAAGAAAGTGGCGGGGAGGAGGGGGAGCTGCTTATTCAAGTCCATGAACATACTAATGATGACAAGTAAACAAGAAGATTCTTAATAGAGAGAAAAAGAGGCAGCAAGCAAATGGAAAAAGGGGATGACTGGACGGAAAATTATGTTCCCCGCTCCCCCTTACGTTTGCAGCCTTCAGGACCAAAGCCAAAATGGTTGGCTTCACACCTCTCGCAACGCTGGCCAGTGATGCCTGGCTGGCACTCGCATTGCCCAGTCTGTATGTCACAGTGGCCATTAGTGGAACCCAATGGATGGCAGTCACACCTGGTGGAAAAAAGAAACAAAAATGCAATGCACATCGTTAAAATTGCAGGAATTTATGAGCCCATCAGGTTTGATTTGGAGAATATGCAGGGAGATTAATGCTTCCCCATAAGAAGCTTGTTATCAAGCAAGAATGAGACAAATGAGCATTAGCATGTGTGCATTCTCGCATTGAAAAGGAAGACATTACATTACATAAACCTTTATTGGCATTTGATTACATTTAAAGGAGTAAACAGTGTGACCAAGAAATTAAAGGGAACAAATTAGAACTGAAGTTGGGAAGGATGGGGGTTGTGGTTTCTCATAAGAATGGTTGACAGAAATTCCGCCACGAGATAGGTAGTAGTTGGAAGGGAGTCACTAAGGAGGATTGGGAGGGGATCGGAAAGGGCAGGAGGGAGGGTTAGGAGAAAGGGGTTTAGTAGGGAAGATCTAAGGGCGGAGTGAGAGGGGCAACGAAGTAGGATGTGGGCTACTGTGTCTGGTTCACAGGAGCAGGATGTGCATAGTCTGTTTGGTCGGGGAGTATTGGAATATCTACCAAGATGGTAAGCAGACGGGAAGATGTTAAAACGAGCAAGAAGGAAGGCCCTCCTTTTCCTTGGGTCAGTCAGGTTGAAAAGGAAGATAAAGTAAGAGAAGAAAAATTCAATGATGGAAGCATTATATTTTCTAAGTAAAGCAGCCATCTGCTTCATTATTTGAGGAACAATGACACCTATTCAGGGGTTGTTACAAGAATAAAAATCTGCAGTGTAACCATTAGCATTAATACTTAATGTCACCTTGTAGAAAATGAATATAATGTATGTATCTGAGCATTTCTAGGAAATTTCAAGCCTTAGTCAATGGCAAAATACTGTTGGAACTTGCAAATTTGCTTTGATGAATACATTATCAATATCTTTTTACCCATGGTGATAATCCACATTTTTACTGTCGAAGCTTCTTACTCTATAGCTCTGTGATTAAGCTTTGCCATACACACAAACTATACAAATGTGGCATATAATAATGTACCTGATAGTGAAACAGAATATTTGAAATAGGTACTGTAAATGGAGTTTTTTTTTTTTGCTTCTGTTCCTTATGTTGAAGTTGATGTTTGTTTAAATGATTCATATGATCTTAACTGGTGTGTAGTGTATTGTGAAACAATAACAAAACAATAAGAAAGATAACTCATCTATCCTGTGCATTATTTTATCCTGTGCATTATACTGAGTAATTATATAGTTATATATAATTATAGTATCACAAAAATACACAGTGCTGCACAAAGCAAGACGAGCAAAGCAAAGGTCTCCCCCTTGTACAATCTAAAGTACAACAGACAGTGAAATAAATGTATATGCCTAAATACAGTTGCACATATTCAAACTTTTATATGGAGTATGGACAAAAGGTTTAAGTGAAGCATCCAGAGAAAAATGGTCTGGGAGCAGGGATTTGAAGGGTAAGACATCAGTAGATATTCTGGCATGGCACTCTTGCATCAAGACAGACATCCATTTTCTCTAGACAGAATTTTTTGAAACTGAAGCCTGTAACTATTCAAACTGAGTAAAATGTGTAACAACTTGCTCATAGGCTAACATGCCTTAATTACTACTCTCTCCCAGCTCTCGAAACCCAGAGTCCCTCTGCCAATTTCAAGGCACAGAAGCCTACTCACCTCTCACAGCCACGCCCGCTCTGCAAGTTGTAGAAGCCAGGCTCGCAGGAACTGCAGTCCCTCTCTGTGACATGTGGAAAACACTCACACTGTCCCGTCACTTGGTTGCAGCTTGTCTGTGGATTCCTTGTACCATAAGGATTGCAACTGCAACCTGCAACAGCAAAAGGAACCTATCAATATGCACTTTCTAATTTGCTAGAATTCAGACAACAGCTCCGGATTGGCCGGGAATGCAAAAGGCGGAAGCACTTTGGGCTTCACCCTCATGTCGCAAATACAAGTCTCCCATCTCCTCTCTCTGCAGAAAAGAGCCATCGGGCAAGGGGAGGTGCAAAAATAATTATATTTATTTTTTTATTATCCAAAAAGTCATTGATACCTACACTGAAGAAAGGAAATAAAAATATCCTGTATATATGTTCAAGACAAAATGCTAGCCTGAGTGCCAAAGCTTTGATTGAACCCAGATGCACAGCCAAGAACAAAGGAGGTTCAAGACTGCAGAAAGGGCTTCTGGCTTGGCCAGTCTCTCTCATAGACAAACAGTTGTCTAATTTTTTTTCTCATGTGCCTCCAGCACTGGAGTGCTCACTGCCTCCTGAAGTAATTGATTCCATTGTTGTACTGCTATAACAGTTAATAAGTTTTTCCTGATAATCAAACAAAGTTTGACTTCCTGTAACATGAGCCCATTATTATGTGCCCTGCACTCTGGGATAATCAAGAACAGATTCTGTGCATCCTCTGTAGAACTATCTTTCAAGTATTATCTTAACTCCCTAGAGTCTTCTTTTCTCAAGGCTAAACATTCCCAATTATTTAAGTCTTTCTCCGTAAGGTTTGGTTTCCAGTCCCCTTATCATCCTTGCTGTCCTCCTTTGAACTTCTTCCAGTTTGTCAGCATCCTTATTGAAGAACTGGACACAGTACTCAAGAGGAGTCCGAACCAGTGCCAAACAGAGGGGGACTACTACCTCATGAGATTTGAAGCCTATATTTCTGTTAATGCAGTATAAAATGGCATTTGCCTTTTTTGCAGCCATATCCTCTGTTGGCTCATATTCAGTTTGTGATCTAAAAAAACTCAAGATCCTTCTTGCCCATAGGATTACTGAGACAACTATCTCCCAGTCTCATAACTGTTTGGATTTTTCTCCCTAAGTGTAGAGCTTTGCATTTATTCCTGTTAAATTTCATCCTGTTATTCTCAGCCCAGTTCTCAAGACCATCAAGATCTTTTTGATTTTTTTCCCTGTCCTCCAGGGTATTAGCTATTCCACCCAGCTTTGGTAAGCATTCTGTGCATCCCCTTATTCAAGTTATTAATAAAAAATTTGAAGAGCACTGGGCCCAGGACTGAACTTTGTGGTACTCCACTTGTTACCTCCTTTCAATTTGAGAAGGAGTCATTGATAACACTCTAAGTACAAGTCTGTAACCAACCGTGTATTCACCTGACAGTTGTTCTATCCAGGCCACACTTAGCTTGCTAATCAAAATATCATGGGGCATCTTCCACCATTTTTTCTTGTTGGAATTGTTTAATTTCCTTCTTAAGAAGTTTGCTGGAGTCAAGATATATTATGTCAACAGCATTTCCAGCATCTACCAGGAAAGTTACCTGATTTAAAAAAAAATTATCCTCATCTTAGAACTGCAGACCAGGAATGGACCTTATAAAATAAGTCTGGCATGATTGGTTCTTGAGAAATCCATGTTGGCTTCTAATTATTAGTGCATTGTTTTTAAAGTGCTTGAAGAATGCCTGAAGCGCAGAGTAATCTGTTCAAAAATTTTCCCTGGGATTGATGTCAGCCTGACTGGTTTGCAGTTCTCAAGTTCCTCCTTTTTGCCCTTTTTGTAGATAGGGGCAACATTAGCCTTCCTCCAACCATCCAGAACTTCATCTATCCTTCATGATTTCAAGGAAAGAATATGCAGTTATCCTGGGAGTCCTTCAGCCAGTTCCTTCAATATTTTTGGATTCAGTTCATCTGGCTCTGGGGATTTGAACTCATTCAAAATAATAAGATATTCCTTGACTATTTATTTATCAGTTTCAAGCTGCAATCCTATACTCTCTCTTTGTACATCACATTTGCATGGAGGGTGATAGATTGTTTTTTGGGAAAAGACCAGGTGAAGTAGGAAACACCTCTGCCTTTTCTTTGTCATCTGTTGTCATTTTCCTAACCCCGTTAAGCAGCTGAGCCACTGTTTCTTTTCTCTGTCTTTAATATATACATACATGATTAATGCTTTCTTGTTTCTTTTAGCATCTCTTGCTAACCTCAGCTCGTTCTCAGCTTTTACTTTCCTTTATCTTTGCTGCTTGTCTGTACTCTTCCTTTGTGGTCTGGCCTTCCCTCTACTTTCTATATGTGTTTTTGTTTGTTTGTTTTCATGTCCATGCTAACCTTTTTGTGAAGGCCCACTGGTCTTTTTTTTTTAAAAAAATTTTTGTGAAGGCCCACTGGTCTTTTTTTTAAAAAAAGACTTCCACCTTTTTTTTCTTGTTGGAATTGTTTAATTTCCTTTTTAAGAAACTCCCACTCATATTGGATTCCTCTTCCTGTTACGATCTCCTGCCATGGGATCTGACTTACCATTGTTCTGAGTTTATTAAATTGACTTAGCTGAAATCCAGTGTACAAGTGCAGCTACACTCTGCTTTTGCTTCTTTGGAAATCAAGAAGTCAAGTAGAATGTGGTCACTTTCCACTAGAATTCCCCTTACTGACACTTCTTCCACCAAGTCATCTTTACTGGTTAGAATCATGTCAAGAAAGCTATTGCTCTAGTTTCTTCCTCCACTTTTTGGGACTACAACTCCCAAAATCCTCTACCGTTTATAACTACATTTATTTTTATAAATGCTGTCTATGGACTCTGAGAAGTGTAGTCCTAAAAAGCAACTGTTTCCAAGCTTTGATCCTAGTTCATACCATACCCAAGTCTTCTGAATGAAGAATGATGATAGACAGAGGTGACAGCATCTGATGGTTCTAGACCACTGGCTTATACAAAACACATGCTATAGAAAGGAAAGAAACTTACCTTTGCACTTGTCCTCTGGATTTTGAGCCAAGGGATTTCCAAAGAACCCTGTTTTGCACCGATCACAATAGAAACCGGCTGTGTTATAGATGCATTTCAGACATTCACCAGTGAAGCGATTGCAATTCCCAACAGCATTAGGGTCAATGTTGTCGCTGCACTGGCAGAGGCGGCAAGGCTTGACAGGGCCATTTGTGCCAAGGGGATCCCCAAAATAGCCATCATCACACAGTTCACACCTTTTACCTGTGAGAACATGGGACACAGGCACTTTAGAAAGCAAGGAAGAATTCTCTTGAAAGCCTTCTCCATATGCCACATCATGAGGAGGCTCTTCCACAAATATATTTAGATGCCACCAAATGTAATTAGTCATATATAAAGGCAGAATGAATTACTTGGGATGTAACAGTGCAAATACCTTGAGTCACACAAAACAAGGTAACATCTGTGTTCAAATTATAGAAACGTGTTTTCCATTTATCAGCTGTACTAAAGAATTCTGGAGAAAATGGTGACATGATTGCAGCCAAAACAAACCACTAAGAGACAAGAGGAAAGTATAGTTATGATTAGGAGAACCCAAAGGCTTGCAGAAGTACAAGAAATAGTTCTTTCCTTGTTTGGGGTTGTTTCTTTGTTTAAGGGAATCCTTCCTTCTAAAACTACTCAATGAGAACTTTGTATGTTCTTTAACAGTAGTTCCCAATCATGGGTAACCTAGGTTTTATTGGACTGCAAGACCAGAAACCCTGGCCAGTGCAGCTGGTGGTGTGGGAATTGCAGTCCAAGAACACTTGGATTATCCACAGTTGAGAGCCATTGCTCTATAGTCACAAAATGTAGCTATCTGATAGTATGTGTGGGAATTGCAGTCCAAGAACACTTGGATTATCCACGGTTGAGAGTCATTGCTCTATAGTCACAAAATGTAGCTACGTATCTGATAGTACGAAAAAACTTTGTATGTGACACTAGAAAAGGAACCACAGAATACAATGTGGGTGAGGGATAGTTGAAGACTCTGCCTGAAGCCATGAATGGGAGCAATCCTTTTAGGAAAGGAGATATGCAGTCCAAGAACACTTGGATTATCCACGGTTGAGAGTCATTGCTCTATAGTCACAAAATGTAGCTACGTATCTGATAGTACGAAAAAACTTTGTATGTGACACTAGAAAAGGAACCACAGAATACAATGTGGGTGAGGGATAGTTGAAGACTCTGCCTGAAGCCATGAATGGGAGCAATCCTTTTAGGAAAGGAGATAAGTTGCAAAACTTGACTGCTGACCCCACTTGTCCAATATACTGACATCCTGCTCTTCTAAGAAGTTTGTAACTTTGGGACATGTGAAAGCAGCTTTTTCAAGGTTAAATGAAGAGCCACCAGAACATGAGTCTCTGTTTTCCATCTTCAAGTCTAATGCTCTAACCACTGCCACCACATATTCTGAATTAAATGGTCAAGTTATTAAAACAAGATGTCTTGCCAGGTACCTAAAACAAAGGAGGTGCTGAACTGAGATAAAAGTGACCAGGTCTTTTGTGAAGTCTTAAAATCTAATTACAAGAGTATGAAGAGACAGGAGATAAAAAGAAAAACTAAAAAAAGGAATGAAGAAAATTGGAGAATACTGTTGCTCAAAAACTTCACATGCACATAAATTAACCATGAGTGAACTGAAATGCTAGATTTTTGATGTTTCTTTTGAAATTACTCTACTGATAATGTACTTGAATGGTGAAAAAGTAGTGATAAACTGATATGAGACAAAGGCACTCACAGGACATACAAAAAACCTCACACGTACAAAAAAACAAAACATACACATACACAAAAACTCACACGTACAAAAAAACAAAACATACACACACACATACACAAAAAGAACCGAACTCCAGCAGCTTTGGAAGAGAGAAAGCATTCAGACTGACCAACCATACAACAGCTGATAACAAATTCCAAACACAAGAGACAGAAAGTGGAGAAGAGACAGAGAAGATATATGTCCTATAATAGAAGGAAAACAAATCAGAAGATCAGGGAGATCAAAGAATAGCAAGAAAACAGAGCTGAAAAGCAAAGTGAAGCAACATTTAGAACTAGTTTTAAAAATAGTAACTGAAACTGAATATAAGAAATAGTGAAACAGAATTAAGAGCAACTATGTGAAATCACGTTTACAACCAAAGGAAAAAATAGACCAAAAAAGTGAAAGGCAATGGACCTTCCCACCATAAAAAGACATCTCTCTCTCTCTCTCTCTCTCTCTCTCTTTCTGTGATACATTCTTACAAAGTCCCACAGCTTCTAAAGTGACAAATAATCACAAGTGTCATCTATGCATCAAGGTACATGGTAGAATTAAAGATAAGCAAGAAGCTGAACTTCAAAGAAAACAGGAATCTAGCTATTCTAACTGACAAGAAACACAAAGGAATAACACATACACCCTTAAGGCATCCAATTTTCAGAAATTCAATGTAATGTTACTTGCCCAACTTCAAATGGCTAACTCATGGACAGAGGCAATTTGTGTAATCATTTGGATGAATCATTCAGCAAGAATGGTAAGCCTATCTACTCCTCAACTGCAGTTGTAAACTATCTATCAGATCACAAAGACAAAGGGAAAAATAAGTGTCTGTGCATGCACTCTTGGTTAGTGACAAGGGCCAAATGGGAAAATTGTTGATTAGAAATTGCTTTTTGCATATTTACTTTCAGTTCTTGTCTTTTTAAATGATTTGTGAGCCAACAACATCTGGAAGGCTGAAGGTTCCTCATACTGGCATAAAGAACCTCTGAGCCTTATCATGTTAACCCATATAGTACAGTCATGCCCCGCTTTATGATTACCCCGTTTAACGACGATCCACTTGACTGTGAGGTTTTTGCGATCGCTTTTGCGATTGCAAAAAGATGGTTTGAATGGTTTTTTTTTTCCGCTTTGCGATGATCGGTTCCCTGCTTCAGGAACCGGTTTTCGCTTTATGACGATCAAAAACAGCTGATCATTGGGTTTCAAAATGGCTGCCGGCTGAAGAAAATGCCCCCCCCCGCTGTGCTTAGGGACGGATTCCTTACTGCACAGGCATGGAAAATGACCGCCCCTATGGAGGATCTTCACTGGACAGTGAGTTTTCAGCCCATTGGAACGCACTGAACAGGTTTCAATGCATTTCAATGGGCTTTTTTATTTTGCTTTATGACGTTTTCGCTCTACATCGATTTTGCTGGAACGAATTAACATCGTCAAGCGAGGCACCACTGTAATTGCTTTCTTTCTTCAGCTCCAGCATGGAAATCTGCATTTCGAGCACAGCTGTGCTATTAAGATTATTCACTCTTAACTTGAGAAACAAAGCAAGGAGGCTCCCTGCAGACGCAGTTTAAAAAGTCCTGTACTTGACACATTAAATACTTGAGACTCTTATTCTTATTCTTATTATTCTTATTATTTAAGCTGCCTAGAGTGGTCATATTGACCAGATAGGCGGGATATAAATAGAATAAATAAATAAAATTAAATAAAAACAGAAGAACCACCATTTCCCCCACTGTGAAATACTGTACTAGATACCTCCAGCAAGAATCATGTATATGTGCTTAATGAGAACAGCATGCAAGGGAACATACCTGTGGTACCAGCTGGACAATTGGTGCACACCACCTCCCTGGTCTTGGGGACAACGGCACAGCTTGAACCTCCTGGACATGGGCATGGCTGGCAATCCAAAGAGGTGCCTGTGGTTGCATCTCCATAATAGCCATCACTGCACTTCTCACAATGAGGGCCAGCTGTATTGTCCCTGCAGTCACAAGCTCCTGGATCATACAGAGGAAAGAGGGAGGTGTATTTCCCAGAGCAATGCAATCATTTTGGTAACTGTCTTACAGGAACCTCTTGTGGCTCAGTGTAGCAAGTCACTGTAGCCACAAATGCTACGAACCTTTGTTATGGACAAGCAACAGCCCTGGAAAAAGGAGTGCTTTTTAAATACTTGTGGCTTTTTCATTAATTCAAATGGGACTACTCCAAACCACACTAAACTAAGTCGTAGCTAGAGTAGGCCTATTTGAATCAATGAAACTTATGGAACAGACTCCTCACCAAGTCTGGTGGGGCCCCTGTGAGATACAGGAAGCTGGACTAGATGGGCCCTTGGCCTGATCCAGCAGGGCTCTTCTTATGTTCTTATGTAAATTCCCATTGATTCAATGGCCCTATTCTAGTGCAACTTACTATGCAAAGCAAATAAAATTAAGCCAATGTTTTAAACATCTTTTCACTGACAATTTACATGCCCATAAGCAACACTGCAGGACAAGAAACAATTCTTCTCTGATGGTTATCTTGTGACCAAGAGTACTGTAATCTAACTCAAGCCTTTCAAAACTGCCAGAGGGTCTCATATCGGAGATGCTGGAATCCAGACCCAGATATTTCCCTGTCTGTCTCTTTATGGCAGCTTACTAGAAGAGGGAGCTACTGGCTTGTTCTCTCTTGTGATTAGATGCTGGTATCAATGTAGCAGAGTAGTAGTATTACAACACAACATGGATAAGCCACTCAGTTCTTCACCGGCCTTAACTACAGGTAATGCCTTTCAGTATCACTCTTGGGGGGGTCTAAGGACCAAGCACAAACACCTGTCCCCTAACCCCTTCCTTGCCGTCTCCTTTACCTGATTCAGGGTCACAAGTTTCACTGTGACCATTGCAGAAACATGGCACACATGGACTGTAGGGCCCAAGACTAAGGGTTTCCCTCCGGTAGCCCTCAGCACATCGTTCACAGAACTGTCCCAGATACCCTGAGGGACAGGTACAGCTTTCCACCCAAGTTGCTGGGACTCCAGGCCCAGGCCGAGCACTCACGATTGTGACATCATCTAAGTATCCAGCACCTGGAAGAGATGGGACAAAATTGCATGTGAATGAAGTGCAGAAGCCTAGATCGGTCAATATAGCACAGTCACAAGAGTAAAGGCCCTCAAATGTGCAAGGACGAAAACAATAGCACAAAAAAATGCACACTGAAGTGGACACATTTATGATTCCCACTTAGGGTTTAATCTTTGTGGCATATTAGGATTAATGAGTTTTACCCTAGAACATCAGGCCCCCCTGTTAGCAACCTGTTTTCCGAGACAGCCAAACATAGCATGAAAATGAGAAAGTAATGTGTTGGCACCCAGTGTTTCTTTTTGATACAACACTGAATTTTGAAATAGAAATAAGGATAGCTAGATAGACAGTCAGACAGACGGACAGATAGTATATTATAGTATATAGTATATTATATATATAACTCTGATATTATGGAAGCAGTATGGGTAGGGTTTTATTTTAAAGTCAGGAAGAGTAAATGATGCCCATACTTAAGAGTAAGAAGGTTTTGTGTGTTTTTTTTTTGCTAGCTGAGTTTGACCAGCAAGCCCAAGACTGGCTGCTTTTCCAGAGAGCACAGTTTGATTCTTCACTCCAGTCACCTGAATTGATCTTACATGTCTGTAGCGCATGTGCATTCCAACAGGTTTTTGAGAAGCCTCACGGCGCAGTGCTGTACTGCAGCCAAAACTGTGCTCAGAACCCAGGGTTCAATCCCAGGTTGACTCAGCCTTCCATCCTTCTGAAGTCAGTAAAATGAGTACCCAGCTTGCTGGGGGGGGGCAATGTGTAGCCTGCATAATTAACTTGTAAACTGCCCAGAGAGTGCTTTAAGCACTATGGAGCACTATATAAGTGAATCCAAGAGCAGATGCATTTCAATAACTTTCAGCCTGTCTGGAACAACTTCCATCTATGAGTTTTGCAAATTCTGCACAAAGGATCTATTAGAGTCCATAAAAAAGATATTCCACCAAGGCTGTATTATTGCTTGGCTGGGCGACAGCCTTGGTAGGACCCTACATTCCCCGTCTCCCTACTTCTTCCACCAGCTAGCAAAACAATATTCCTTCTACTCGTCTTCATGATAACTGCTATTTCACATTAGATGTGTAATGAAACAAGCAGTGAGATGTTTACCGAAACAAGCAACCCAGGATTCCTCATAACTGTGGTATAGATATCCATCTTTTCACCTTTAGTTCCTGAAGATAATAATGGCTCAGGATGACATTAGACGAGACCATGCTTTTGCATGAAAGGGGGCAGAGTTTTTCCAGAGACAGGAGAAGCAATGTGCATTCTTAGGCTGGCTTCTGATTTGCAAGCAATGCTTTCAGGAAACAAATACTGTATTTACATCAGGCCTGCCTGTGATGTCAAGATACCAATGTCGGTAGGCCTAGAGGCATGCAAAGATGGCAAAGAGCCAAACATCCTCCCTGTGAAAACTCAGGGTGGGTAAAGAATGCGAGTTTTATGACCATGAAGTTTACTTGCATACAGCACTCCTTCTGCTTATATGGTCAGAAAAGTACATCTAGCACAGTCCCACCCTTTGGAGATGGACTGATAGATCTTTCAGCATAAATTTTTATGAGCTTTTAAATTCATGCTTCACATATGTATGCTGAAAGCTCTTTAGATAAAACCACAATTTGAGAAACAGGAGAAATGTGCCTTTTGGGCTTGACTAGCTGCAAGATTTTCCTCAGTCAGGATCCTCAATGACAGCTACATCTGGCAACTGCTGCCAGGAAAGGCTCTGCTTCATGTACAGAGTCATTTTTATGGGGCCATATGTTGATGCAAGGATGTTTACATTTTGGGTAGCAACTCGGACTCCAGCTACAACCCCTTGGTGCCCTTGCATTTTAGCAATGAGAGGAATGTTAATTACACCAATATCTTTCTACGTCCTCACCACCACTAGACATTCCCTGTAAATGTATGAAACTGCGCAATGCTCCCCAAAATTCCACACATTTTAGGCATATTTAGCATAATGCATTTTGTCAGATTTTTCCCTGTTACACCAGCAACTTCTGGGGTTACAGGTCTTACAGCAAGCACAACCAATGCTCTCACTGCCTAGCTGATCCTGGGGGCTGTCATCCAAAGACATAAGAAAGTAGTACCATTTCCTCTTCATCTGATGGGCAAATTCCTGATCATTCAGAATTTAGTAAATTTAGTAAAAAAATGTATGGGTTTTATAAAGAACAAACAATGCTTGGCCAAATATTGTTAGCATCAGATGATGTTAATTAAGAAATTATATAAACTTCTTCTAAATTGGAAAATGGAAGAGGAACAGGTGAAAGAAACAAAGGTGCAGAGGGCTAAAAATTGTGGGTATAATATTGAGCTAGAGAAATGGCAGAAACTGGAATAGAAATTGTAAAATAACAATGGTGACATCATATAAAGAGAATCTATATAAAATGTTCTACAGATGGCATTTACCACCTACTAGATTAGCAAAAATGTTTCCTAATATGCCTAGTATTGGAAATGTGATTAAAAAGTGAGTACCTATTATCGTGTATGGTGGACTTGTGAAAAAGCTTTAAAAAAGGGAACAAAATACACATATGGCTGGTTAAAATGCTTAAAAAACATATAGACTTTAACCAGAATTGTTCCTATTAGGTATCTTACCAAAGGACTTTGATAGACAAAATGTATATCTAACACTGCACGTTTTGACAGCTGCTAGGATTATATTTGCACAATATTGGAATAATGAAGAAATACCAACAGAAGAAAAAAATAACCAAGAAGATTTTAGAGTGCACATAACTTAACAGACTCACACTGAGGATGAAGGAGTAAGAAGACTATAACCAAGAAGATTTTAGAGTGCACAGAACTTGACAGACTCACACTGAGGATGAAGGAGAAAGAAGACCTAGAATACTTCAAAATGTAGAATTTGTTCTATAAATGGCTAGAAGAATGGAGAAGGCCTTAAGGCACCAAGATGGAATAACAGATAATTATAAGCAAACCGGCTAGAAGAATGGAGAAGGCCTTAAGGCATCAAGATGAAATAACAGATAATTATAAGTAAACCCCATGTAACACAATGTTTATTAAGGACGAATCAAATATAGTAGTAATAGAAAACTAATAAAATGTCTATATATATTAGAAAAGAATTTAGTAAATTCCTGTACAGAGTTAATTTGAGCCTGAACTGCAAATTGGTTAAAATCTTATCTGTAATGAATTCACTGGGGGAGGGGGTCTTAGGCAAGCCACTAAACTCTCAGCTTCATTTCCTGATATTCTAAATCTACACTATGGTAATAATACAACTGAACTTCTTTGCATGGCTATTGGAGGGATTGTTTAGATAATGAAGGAGAAGCTCTAAGAACACACGGAAGTGATACAAACACTAGTTATTGGCATTATTATGGCACTGTACTTTCTGCTGAGACATATTACATATTTATTTATTTATTTATTTATTCATTCATTCATTCATTCATTCATTCATTCATTCATTCATTCATTCATTCATTCATTTATTCAATTTATATCCCACCTATCTGGTCGTTGTGACTACAAAGTTATGATTCAACTACACATCTTTCATTTAAAAAGGCATAGGGCCCAGTAGTTTCAGAAACAGGAACATTTTGTCATGGACCTGGAATTCTGGGAGAATTATTTAGTCCCACATTTTTTTAAAAAAGTAGCAAGTAGTTGCATTCACGTGGAAGGATAAGCTGTGGGTTCTGGAGCACTCTGGCTTGCTGTACATACAACTTACTTGCTCTGCCTTTGCTCCTCCTCACCAGAGCAGTCACTGGACAAATCAAATAGGTGGACTGTTTTTTAGGGTGTCATCTGAGTTGGAACTCTTACTCAATCCAGAATAAACCAGGATTTGTAAACCAAGAACAAAGTCTGGGTTAAAATCTTTGCTTATAAGAATTATGACTTTAAACAACAGACTAAAAATATTTTCTGATTTGTACGTCTAGCTATTCTAGCACTTTTGCACCACTCAAGGCAGCTAAAACAATTACCAGTTCCAACCAAAAATACAATGGCCCACTACAGGACAAAAGAAAAGAAAAAAGAAAAGAAAAGCGTGCCTAGCACAGAAAGGCTTTTGCCATATGATGAGAAACCGTAAGGGGAGAGGCCAGGTGAACCTCCCAAGGCAATGAGCTCCATAATTCAGATGTGGTAATAGAAAAGACCCTTTCTTGATACCTCCACAGCCTCGTTCCCAAATGCTTCTGCCAACTTACTCCTCTCACTGTAGGTCCCACGAATCTTGATAGCAGTTAAGTTATGGAGCAGCTTCTGAAATTCAAATGGGGTAAGAGTAGGCCTCCAGGGATAATCTGTTGCTTCATGTAGCCTAAAGGGGAAGAAACACGTTGTCATTTTTAAGCCTACAAAGAGTTTGGCTGTCCAATGGCCATGTGCTGTTCACAGAACACAGAAAATATGTGATGTTATGGAGTTGGGACACTTGCCCTTTTCTCTTTCTAGGCACGATGAACAGTTCAGAAACAACTACCACTCCTCCCGGCAACCATCTGCAGCCCATTATCTCTCCACTACCTGACTCCTGTATGCATCAGCTCTGAGAACTAGATCTGTTAAGAGCCATTTAATGGGGCAGCACTCCTAAGAACCATGGGCTTACTGGCCATACTGTCTGGTAAGAATTTCCAAAGGTCTGTGGTTTTTTTTAAAAATCTAAAAGTAACACAACATCTGCCAAACACCCTGTTATCTCTCTCCTACCTTGTTCACAGAAGTTCTAACAGATATGGGCATAAATGTTTGCTATCATTCACCTGCAGAGCAAACCTAGATTAGATTTAGGCATGAAAGGCAGGTGTACTTGCATGCTTTGTTCTGACTGTATTCTTAATATTAAAATGGTGAAGAACAGGAAGAGGGGAAGGATCACATTGCTCAGTGAGAAAGAAAAGAGCCTGAAACCAAGGGAGGAAAATTTTATTTGCTGAAGCTAAGCTAATTTGCACATGCAATCTACTTAGAACTGAGACTGTCTCAGAACTGATGCCGCTTTGAGTTCTGAAGGAAGAATAATACAGAAACATAACAACATTTTAGAATAGGCATTCCTTGTCCTCTCAGATACAGCAGGAAAGGTTTCTTAATATGTAACATACTGCTTCCCTCTCACAAGAAAGGTCAGGCAGTCGACGAATGAGTTGTGTATCTGCATGTTTGTAAGTGTTTAAAAAACAAACTCTGAACCAACCCTCTTCCAGCATTTGCAGTTGCTGCTTGTTTCTGGCAGACCGTTTACAGCACCTTGAGCTAAGAGGGTGTTCACCCTATTTAGTCATGGCTGTAATCCCAATCCCTTTAGCGAAACATTATGTGAAAACAGAATAAAATCTGAAGGTTTGCTCATTAGAAACACACACCCTTACCTGAAGGCATACTTCAGTGTGTTCTCACTGGGATAGGAATTGCCTTGAGCAATCAGAGGTACAGATACTCTCAGTCCAGCACCTTCAAGGACTATGTCCTCGGCAGAAAGGCGCGTGTCCCGCCTGTCGACTCGAAAAAAGAATGTCAAGTTTTGGCCATAACTCAAGATTTGATTTCCAAGGAACTTGCCTGAAAAGACAGCAACATATTCCATGTACAAGTAAGTGCTAAGAGCAGAAAAACTAACTGAAAATCACTTACAGTCAACATACTGCCCAGTCATGAAAGTCATCATTCTCACAATATACCTGGAGCGATGAAGTAGATGGGGAAAGGTGTGTCTGAGATCGCAGAGATTTCTTGAGTCTCACTAACCCACCGAACTGAGATTTCAGAGCCATCTCGCTGCTCTGCATGCCATTCTTCCTCTCCTGTGGACACAAGGAGAAAGATCATCTTAGGTTAAGGATGGATTAGTCTGCAGTCAATGCTAGGGTTAAAAAATCACTACAGTAGTTGCAATTTTATATACTTGCGTATTACTTTGCCTTGCAACATGTATAAATATGAAAGAGGAGCAAACTTTCACAGATGCTTGGTAGAAGTTTATTATGTTTGTTGGTGTATGGATAAGGATGCTGTGATCTAACGAGTACATGGAATTTTATTTTTCAAAAGGAATTTTATTATTAGCATGTGTAAACGACATCTCATTTTTAGTAGTCTGATTTTTATTTCAGTGCCGAACTATGCTACTTATTAACACATACTTTACATATGTGATCATGTGTCTCTCCATGATTCTCTCCCCCCCCCCCGAAAATAAGTGTCCTGCACAGCTTAGAATAGCTGTTGGGCCCTATCTGTTGCTTCTCTAACAAGAGAACTTTATACACAGTGTGGGACAAAGCCATTCACATTAACTGAAGCACCTATAATGTCCACTGACATGCTTTGGACATGCCAGAAAGTGTGGCCTTCTCCCTCCATGCTCCTGGAGTGTAGCAAAATCACAGCATCATAGAATAACGGAGCTGGAAGTGGCCTGTAAGTCCAACCTGTAAGTCCAACCCCCTGCTCAGTGCAGGAATCAAAGCAGATCTGATAGACAGTTGTCCCAATTTTCTCTTGGAATGCCTACAGAATTGGAGCACTCGCCACCTCTTGAGGTAATTGGTTCCACTGCTGTACTGCTCTAATAGTTAGGATGTTTTTTCTGATATCAACCAAAATCTGTTTTTCTGTAACTGGAGCCCATTGTTAAATGTCCTGCACTCAGGGATGATTGTGAAGAAATGCCACCCCTTCTCTGTATGACAGCCTTTCAAGTATTTGAAAAGTGCTATCATATCTCCCCTCAGTCTTCTTTTCTCAAGGCTAAGCATGTCTAGTTTTTTCAGTCTTTCCTCGTAGGGCTTGGTTTTCAGTTGCCTAATCATCTTTGCTGCCCTCCTCTGAAGTTGTTCCAGGTTCCCCTAATGCTTTGCACAACGCACAACTCACCTTTTCTAGTAAAAAATAGAAGAGAATTCATATTTTCTATCCAACCTAATATACTAAATCAAGTGTTAACAATGAGCTAGCTATTACTCATGCAAACAAGTAGGGTTTGAGGTGACTGTTGTATTAGTGATTGACAAAAATGTAATTGTCCCTTATTATAAGGAAACTAACAAGCAATACTAAGCATATTTCTTTTTAACAAAGTACCTCTGAGTTCTGTATCCAAACCACTTCATGATTAAATCCTGCTCAGAAGGCGCTAAAGGCCAAACTAGACATGATGGTAAGAGTCATATCTATTCATGTTACTGCTCCATTTATGTATGAAGAGAAGAGTGGAAACAGATCTAATATTAACAATGAAATGTATGAAGGACTGAGAAGGAATCACACCTATCTTCTAAGCTTTTCTCTCTTCATGCATAGTCACAGCAGACATAAAGTCACAGAATCATGAAGTTGGAAGGGGCCTGTAAGGTCACGGAGTCCAACTTCCTGCTCAGTGCAGGAATACAAATCCAAAGAGATCTGCCATATGGTTGTCTAAGTTTCTCTTTAATGTCTCCAGTGCTGGAGCACTCACCACCTCTCTAGGTAAGTAGGTGTTGGAGCACTCGCCACCTCTCTAGGTAATTGGGTCCATTGCCATAACCTCTCTCACTCCCAGTACCAGAACTGGGTTATAACAAAAGTCCTTGAAGTGATAGTATGTGATAAAGCAAAAGAGGAAGGCGGAGGATGGTTAGAACATTCCATCTTAACTCTCAATATTCATTGCATTTCTTTTATATACTGTACCTCTTTTATAGCGGGACTAAAAAGACACCTGAACAACAATTAAAGTTGCCCATCAGACAGCAAGAGGAAGGCGGAGGATGGTTAGAACATTTCATCTTAATTCTCAACATTCATTGCATTTCTTTTATATACTGTATCTCTTTTATAGTGGGATCAAAAAGACACCTGAACAACAATTAAAGTTCACATGGTTCAAAATTCATTAATTTCTACCACTGGGTAATATTAATTGGACTTCTTACTTTACACCGCTGGCATACAAAGTCTGTTATGCTGCAGTATGTTTGGGATGCAACTGTGTTTCTGCATTAAATAAAGACAGATTACTTTTAAGCATTATGATTCCTACGGATCACAACATGTCCAGTTCAAGTCAAGACTGTTGCTTGAACTTACCACTCTGGAAGCTAGAGGTAATTCTGTAGATACTGTATCCATTAGCATTGGAACACACGGATGAGTGGCCATAACAGAAGCAAGGGGTACATCCCCTTGGATTGGTGGAATCCAGGTTAAAAAAGCCAGGTTTGCACCTAAAAACAAGAGAAAATACTGAAGTACTAATATTTTACCTCAATCTCCCACACTTACAGTCTAAGGAAACTCTTATTTAATTGGCCAATTGGACAACTGGACAATAGGCCAAACAAACAATACATTATAGGTCCATACTAGACCACTATGTAGCAGAACCTCATACTAAAACTGAGTAGCCTTTCTGACCAGGGAAGACAGCAGCCAGCACCATGGAAAAGAAATGTTGGTAGGAAGAGACAGGAGAAGGTAGAAGCTGTCATTTACTGGTAACATAAGGAAAAAACTGCTGGAATCCAAAGGGAAAGCCAGCATTCAAATCCCTATATAGAATGACTTCTCACTTTATATTGCAATTGTTTTTTTCTGTTGTTATGTCTGTACACTGCTGGGAGAGCTAGGACTCAACCGGTATACATGTGCATGCATGGGAGTATCTGAAGAGGTGCATTTGTAATACAGAATTAAGTTCACCCGATGCACTTTCTACAGTAAACATGGCTGCCAAACAAAGGTTTCATCTTACAAACGTGATGAAATAGTAGACTGGAATGGTCTCCACCAGTGCAAGCTAATTAAGTGTCCTTCAGTAAATTATAATCTCCCATCTTGGTTTGTATTCCAGCTGTTTTGTACAAATTAACATAGGATCATCTGATGAAAGCTTTTCAAGACAAAATACTAAAAGGGTAGGGCAAAATATTATACAGAATATAAATTAACGGAAGTTTCCATTTTAAAATCCAGGCAGGCTGACCACATTACCTCTCACAGTGAAATCCTTCTACATTGTCCTTACAGGTGCAACGCCCTGTTTCCACGTTGCATTCAGCTGTGCTGCCCACTGGGTCACAGGAGCACCGCCTGAAGGAGAAGAAACTTAATCAGAAAGAATAAGGCAACCGAATTTCAAGGCTATACATTGACCTCTGATAAAACAACCTTAACTTTCACCTTGATTTACAGAACCAAACAACTTTTACCTGCAACCAGCCTCTGTAAGAGAATGATAGCCCGGTTGACACCGATCACATTTGTCACCCATCACTCCAGGTTTGCAGCTGCACCGTCCATAATTGTCACACTGTGTGCTGAGGGAGCCTGTGAGAACAAAGTGAGATTGGCATTATCATTTTTTTTAAAAAAAAACTCTACTTTTCCTCAAGCTCTGGTCTGCAGAGTGAGAACTGGGTCTGCCCAAGTAGATCACAGTAACAGACTATATAAAACTCAGTAGCAAGTCACAACTAGGTAGGCCCATTGAATCAATAGAACTTACATAGGTATTGACTCACCAAATCCCCAATGATTCAGTATGCCTACTCTAATTAAAACTTACTAGTGGATTTCAGTCATTATTTCTATAGCCCCCGAGTAACATGATGATGCCTAGTGCGAAGTCAAATATGCACTAATGTGTTACATGCAACATTTCTGGCATGTCAGGCCTCCTCTTCATTGATTTTGGGATCATCTAATGGGACCTATTCCTATGGCTTTGACTTTTAAACCCCTTAATGTAGGAGTTAGCACCAGGAATTGCCTAGGCTATATTTGTTTTGCTAATTGTGCTACCTGGTCTCCACTCACCAACATAGAGGTATAAGAGATATGGAGACAAGGCATATGTAGCCACAGAACATGCCAACAATTCACTTTAGGTGAGTGGGTGGACCACCATTCAGATATTGAAGAGACACCTGCAAGGTTCATTATTGACCAGTATTTTTACAGATCAGCAGCTCCTTTATTGCAGAATGTACATAACTCTTTAAAGAGATGCCAAAGCTGCCAGGTGAAGGTGGGCAGCAGATGTATCTCCTGGTGGGATGAAGTCAAAGCGCAAAGTCAAAAAGTCGAAATTTTCTAATCTGAAAATCGTTTAGATTGTTGAGCCTGCTATTTTATTTTGAGTCATATTTAGCATAATTCTCTCCAATCCAGTAAATCTGTATCTGTCCATACCGTTTCAAACAGCAGGTGAGACTGCTCTTTTATGTAAAACACAGAAGAGTAACATATTGGAGAAATTATTAAATAACAGCCATTCTTTTCATTATTCATTTTTCTTCATGTCTTTGTTTAATGTTATGGTATACATTACTTTGAATGCCCACCTGAAGTGGTACAGTACACACCCAAGCTGCCACTTCAGTGAAAACGTGACATTTGTTTTGTGCATTTAATAGCAGTTTTATGGTGCATGCCCTTCTTGCTATGTCCTGTATCAAAGTCACAAACCATTCAGGGTTTATCTTAAATTGCTTTGCTTCATTTTGACATCTGCTGTTTTCAGAATCATATGGGCTGCTTTTCAAACCCTCTTCAGTTTGCAGGCAGATGGCTGGATGCAATACTATTAAAGGACAGTGCTTTTCCATGTATAAGATGATACTTTCCTCTAAAATATGCAGATTAAAAATTTAGGGTCATCTTATACACGGAAGTAAGGAGGGGGAGAGATCGAAGCACTTTGATCCCTGCTTTCCCCCTCCACTTTCTTGTGAAGAAAGAAATTCTGAGTTAGAAAAGAGGGGGTGTCTTATATGTGGGGGCATATTATACATAGAAAAATATGGTATTTTCTTAGCTGTTGAGCGGTTATGGAGTCAGATGGTTAAGGAGTAAGAAGACTAAGTCAAGGAAAGGTAAATAGTCTCTGTATGCAGGCTGTTAACTGAAGCATGAAACAGAGAAAAGGGAAAGGGGCATAGACAGATAAGGACTTAATTCCTAAATTAAAATCAGAAGTGATCAATGGTAAAGTGGACATTGAAAAGGCAAGTGGAAAGTTATTATGAAAAATACATTGATAACAAAAAATGTATGTATGTTGATAACATTCGCTTATTTAGAAGCAATGCATAAATAGGAATAGGATCCAGGAGTGAAACTGGCATATACTGAGCAGGCATTCCTAAAACTGGATGAATTCAAACTTGTTAGTTTGCTTTTTGAGCATTCTTTATTTAAGAATACTTCTATCTTAATTTTCACACATACCCCCAAAACACTAAAATTATTTCCATTAGCAGAAATATAGGGAAGTTTAAGAGATGAGTTATTAAAAAGCTAACTTCTAACTTAACAGGGAACAGCTTCTTTATCTTTAGACTAGAAGAAGATTCTGAAAGAACAAACTTAATAGGTTCGAAGAGGATTAAATAAAACAAAAGCATTTAGCAGCAAAGAGTTCACAAGAGTCTTTACCATATACAGGCAACACTCTTGTCTAGGCTATAATTATTCAAAAAACAATTACTCAGACAAAAATACCATCTTACATCACCATGCACACATAGTCTATTAAACTTTTAAAATACCCTGTCCGGCTGTGTGTCATGGAACATATTACAAGATTTTAAAGCTCCTTATCAAGCCTTCCCCTTCATGGATTGCTGCCCCCCTTCACAATACAGGCAACACTCTTGTCTAGGCTATAATTATTCAAAAAACAATTACTCAGACAAAAATACCATCTTACATCACCATGCACACATAGTCTATTAAACTTTTAAAATACCCTGTCCGGCTGTGTGTCATGGAACATATTACAAGATTTTAAAGCTCCTTATCAAGCCTTGCCCTTCTTGGATTGCTGCCCCCCTTCACAAACTGCTGCCTTGTTGTGGCAAAGGGCAATTCAGAGAAGCTATGGGCTATGCTGTTCAGGGACACCCAAGACGGACAGGTCATAGTGGAGAGTTCTGACTAAACGCGATCCACTTGGAGCAGGAACTGGCAAGCCACTCCAGCATCTTTGCCAAGAAAATTCCATGGACAGAAACAAAAGGCTAAAAGTTATGACAGTGGAAGATGAGCCCCTCAGGTCAGAAGGTGTCCAACATGCTACTGAGGAAGAGTGGAGGACAAGTACAAGTAGCTCCAGAGCTAATGAAGTGGTTGGGCCAAAGCCGAAAGGACGCTCAGCTGTGGACATGCCTGGAAGTGAAAGGAAAGTCTGATGCTGCAAAGAAAAATACTGCATAGGAACCTGGAATGTAAGATCTATGAACCTTGGTAAGCTGGATGTGGTCAAACAGGAATACACAGTGACATCCTGGGCAGACCTCCTTATCTTTCTCCTGAGAAATCTATATGTGGGACAGGAAGCAACAGTTAGATCACCTCCTGGCAAATAGAAGGGGAAGATATGGAGGCAGTGACAGATTTTATTTCCTTGTAGATGGTGACAGCAGCCAGGAAATTAAAAGACGCCTGCTTCTTGGGAGGAAAGCGATGACAAACTTAGATAGCATCTTTAAAAGCAGAGACATCACCTTGCTGACAAAGGTCTGCATAGTCAAACTATGGTTTTTCCAGTAGCGATTTATGGAAGTGAGAGCTGGACCATAAAAAAGGCTGACCGCCGAAGAACTGATGCTTTTGAATTGTGGTGCTGGAGGAGAGTTTTGAGGGTCCCCTGGACTGCAAGGAGAACAAACCTATCCATTCTGAAGAAAATCAACGCTGAGTGCTCCCTGGAAGGACAGATCCTGAAGCTGAGGCTCCAGTACTTTGGCCATCTCATGAGAAGAGAAGACTCCGTGGAAAAGATCCTGATGTTGGGAAAGTATGAAAGCAAGAGGAGAAGGGGACAACAGAGGATGAGATGGTTGGACAGTGTCATCAAAGCAACCAACATGAATTTGACCCAACTCCGGGAGGCAGTGGAAGACAGGAAGGCCTCCCATCATGACTTAACGACTAAACAATAACAATCAACCCTTCTCAATTTGCCCTTGAATACCCGTGCAATTAACTTTCACCATTACCGTATGCTGTTTATATCATAAAGGCAAAAACGAAGTCTCATCATAGCTGTGCTTGAGTGGAGAAACACAGACTGCAGTTTAAACTGCAGCCCCAAGTTTATTTTGTACAGGTTTTCCAACAAGAAATAAATCACTGCATGGGGGAAAGGATATTAATTTGATTACAAAAAGATATGCACATTTAGTGCTAATGTTCAAGCACACCACTACATTTACAAGTATACATGAGTGTCCAAATGAATGTTTATAGGCCATGCTACCAAGCATAACTAAGAGACTGAATTTAGAGCTTAAACAAGAAGAGCTAAAAACATCTTGCATTCCAAATACTGGGAACCCGAGGCCAACAATATTTAACTCTTCACTTCTGCTGAGGGAAGTAACACAATGCACGTCCTCCACTGACACTAAGAGATTCGGCACTACTGAGAGGGACTCCCACAGGGAGAAAAGTGGGTGCAGTCAATCTGTTCTCTTAACAGGCTATCAATGTCCATTTTGCTATTGCTTCTAATAAAACTGGTTTACACCTCATATTAACACATCACATAGATAATAATTTTGGAAAATATGTTTTACAGACAGTCATTGGAAGCTTGCTAAAACATTTATTTATTTATGTAATTAACTGATATCCATCCTTTCACCCAAAAGGGACCCAATACAAGTGATAAAACAATTCAAAACACAATAAATGACAACAAGGGAGATAGGGAAAGTTACAGAAAACAATTCAAAATACAATAAATGTATTAGAAAACAGTTAAATATATTAAATATAAATACTAAATCATTAACCACGTGCCATCAAGTCAATTCTGACTTATGGCAACCCTTTTTGGGAGTTTCTAGGTGAAGAGTATTCAGAAATGGTTTAACTCTCTCTTCTTCTGGAGGTATCCTGGGACTGTGCAGCTTGCCCAAGGCCACATAGGTTGGCTCTTCTGGGATGCACAGTGGGGAACTCAACGTTCAACCTCTGATTCCATAGTCAAATACCTAACTCACTGAGCTATCCAGCCAGCTAAATAATTAATAAGTATTAAGTAAAATATCAGGTTACCCAGTGTGATATAGTGGATTGAGGGATGGACTAGGACTTGGGGGACCTGGGTTTGAATCCCTGTTTAGCCATGGAAATTCACAGGATTGCACAGTGGGGAACTCAACGTTCAACCTCTGATTCCATAGTCAAATACCTAACTCACTGAGCTATCCAGCCAGCTAAATAATTAATAAGTATTAAGTAAAATATCAGGTTACCCAGTGTGATATAGTGGATTGAGGGATGGACTAGGACTTGGGGGACCTGGGTTTGAATCCCTGTTTGGCCATGGAAATTCACAGGATGGGCAGAACTGGTAAAACCACTCCTTAAATATCTCACTTACTTTAATAGCTCTGCTGGGGTTATTATAAGTTGTTCCAACTCAACAGCATATATAACACTAAATAAAATCTCTCTACAACGGTTCAAAAACACAGCTAGATGAATTAAAGAAGACAGCTCCTCCTTTGAAACCCTTTCCAAGAAACTATTTGCTTACTGAAAATCTGCCTAAAAGGAAAAGTTTTTGCCTGCTAGCAGAAGGACAGTGGTGTCCTATGGAAGGGAGTTCTACACCTGGGAACAGCCACTAAAAAGGCCCTCTTGTTACCAAAACCAAGCAGGCCTACGAGGAAAAAAGAGAAGGAACTCGCCTGAAGATCTTACAACCTGGAGAGGGTCAAATAATACAGGAAGAATCTCCACCACTACTGAGCACTTCAGCAAACACTCATGTTTAGCCACCAGAAGAGCAAAGAAATAAAGTGTCCTTCCCACTCACCAACAGGGTTGCAATTACATGGCAGACAAACTTCTTCACTCCCCAAGCGGTAGAAGTTCTCTCGACACCTCTCACAGTTTGGTCCATCAGTATTACCAAAGCAGCCTGTGCAGTGGCCACCGTGGCCTGTGGAACGGTATAGCTCAGGGTCGAAGTAGCACTCTTGGGATCTTCCATTGCAGTTACAGGCTGCAGGTAAAGCAAAAACATGTGTGTTCAACAGTCTGTGATGTACATTTGCCTAAACTAAAGTCAGAAAAGTTTTTTTTTTAATTCTGAGGGTTGTAACCTAAAAGTAAACTCTGCATGATTTACCCTTAAATGCTTCTGTCTTTTTCCCTCCTACAGTACAACAGTTCCTGAAACAAATACTAGCAAGTCTATGATGTTTAAAAAAATAATGCAACAAAGAAAATAATGAAAAAATTAGAAAGGGGTGAAATAGAGAAGAAAGTATCAAGCAATTACTCCTATCTGTTTGAGGTAAAAGAGCAGGAGTTTCCCCCCTACAGATAAACCCTGTCTTTATCACTGAGAAAACAGAGAATCATTCTATACAATATATTTAGCACATAGACAACAGATTCATTATATAAAATTCTCATTTAGACTTTAGCACACTTTAAAAAAAAAAGAGAGAGAGACATTTTCGTAGTTTTCCTTCTTTTTGTCCATGGGGGAACCAAAAATACCACAGGCAGAGAGTAGCGGTGACACTTTTGGGTTGGAGTGGAAGAACCTGCAGGACGGCTATGGCAGAGGTCTCTAGCCAGTAATGGGTTGCTAGGGGTAGAAGTAGCAGGGTTATATTTTGGACTCAGGAAGAACTCAGGGTACAGTAGCAGAAGCTTCACCCGACAAAGCCCACTTCTTTTTCTTGAATGTGAATCAACAACTCAGATGCATAGGGGATGAACTTTGTGTCAAAGATCCAGGAAAGAAGGAAAGGCATTAAAAGAATATTTTCCCTTAATCTTGGCTTACATGGGAAAACTGGCTAAGGTCACAGCTTGAAAATATTAACAGTAGCACTAATGCATTAACATTAAGCTGTCCCAGTGGTTTGTTTGATTAATTGGTTTTTGAAACTCTAGAAAATATCATTTGGTAATTATATGGTTTATCTTTAAAATATCACCTAAAATTGTTTGAAATTATCACAACTAAGATGTACAATGATTCCAAGCTCCTTAGAATCAAGAAATGGTGGCCAAATGGACAGCCTGGATTTGGCTTCTAGGCCACCAACTGTCAATCCACAACGAAGCCTCCACAGTTCCTTTTTCCGCCCAGTCTCATATTGCTTCCTAGCTCAGCAAAATAAGGGCAAAACTACTCCAAGACAGGGGAAGGGAAAAAGTTGGCTATACACTATAATAGCACAAGATTAGAATGGGGCAATCCCATACCTCAGACTCAACATGCCCACTCGTCCTGAGAGGCTGGGGCAGAGGAGACTGGAGCTTTGAAGGAGGCTAGCACACGGCTAAAGTGTTGGGAGAAGTTGCTGAATCCACTAGATTTTCCATCCGGCTGTCTTTCCAGCTGTGCTGCCGTTCCTATCCTTCCCACAGCCCGCCCACACAGTTAGCACACTCTCTGGCATGCAAACTGCAGGGAAAGATGATGGTGATACCAGCCTCCCCCAGCTGTGTCCCGTGAGAAAGGGAGATGAAGTTTGTGCTTTCCTTACTGCAGACAGGCCTAATTGTTCACGTCTAGGGCGCAGAGTAGAAAAAGAGCCATCAAACATCAGTTTTGTCAGGCGTTCCAAGTTAAGTCATGAATTCACAGGGACAGCTGGGAAATTTCATTCTCCACGTGACACAAGCAGGGAAGCAGGGTTGTGTTCAGAAGGGAATATCATCTATGGTTTTTGCAAAACACTTATGGGGCTCAAGAATGTTCAGTTTTTAGGTCTAAATGTATCCCTAAAAACTAAGCCTCTATGTTGGAGGCCCCAATGTATAAATTGACACCACCATACTTCTATGCAGGTAGCAGTCTTCTGCACTTGCAGGATCTGGGTCATCTTGGCACAGATTTAATATTATTTGTTTTGGCACTCGGAACATAAGACTTCTAGCCATAATTAGCTGAGCCCAGATACTATATCAAACACCCATGAATGAGAAATACATTTTTCATTTCATGATTTGGATAAACAGTTAGGTATGCCAACAATAACTACAGATAATGAACCAGTAGCAGCCAGTGTAGTCTGGATATGAGATAGTAGGAGAAGAATTACCCAACACTCTGCAGGGCCCAAGTCACTCCTACCACACATCCCATGCCAAGTGGCAACATGAAACAAAGACATGTGGGGGTAGGGTTAGCTGGCAGCACATTATCATTATCATTATTATTATTATTAAAAGGTGCTAAGTTCTTGCATTAATAGAGGATGACAGCGAGAGGAAGCTACTAAATGAAGCTTGCCAGGTGGAAAAAGGAAGGGAAAACACTGGCTACTACCCCCATGAGAGAAAAGAGGTGGTGAAATAACTGGCAGGAAGATTTATCTTTTTAGTCAAAGCAAGATTATTTAAGAACCTCCCCAACACACACTTACGCAGACATTCATTGGAACTCTCTGCCGTTGCTCTCCTCCAAGGCCGGTCATTGTAAAAAGGGAGGCACTTTTCACAGTCAGCCCCAAAGGTATTGTGCTTGCAGCTGCAAGCCAGCTTTCCATATTCATTCTTCACACACTCGCTTGCATGGCCATTGCATTTGCACCTGAAAGGCAAGAATTGGCTTCAGCAAGAGGGAATGTCTTGTATCTCAGGCCTCCCCTGTAACCAAAGGCTGACTCATTATCAAAGGATTCCAAGAACTGTCTGTTCCTTCTAAAAGGGCTAAGATTTGCTGCAGGGGCAAAGTTATTTTCATACAAAGCCAGCGTGGCATAGTGATTAGAGTGTTGGACCAGAACTTAGGAGATCTGGATTCAAATCTCCCACCAAGACATAAAGCTCACTGGGTTCCCAGGGCCAATCACATTCTCTCTGCCTGACCAACCTCAAAGGTTTGTTTTGAGGATAAAATGTGGAAAGGAATATACACTGCGTCTGCAGCTTATCCCAGGAAAGGCAGGATATAAACTTGGCAAATAATAATACAGTATTATTACCAAACCATGGGGGGGGGGAAGCAATTTAATAAACAGGTTTTGAAAAAAAATATCAATATTTGTTTTACCCTGTTTCCCCCCCCCCCAAAAAGACCTAACCTGAAAATAAGCCCTAGTATGATTTTTTCAGGACGCTCGTAATATAAGCCCTACCCCAAAAATAAGCCCTAGTTAAGTGAAACCCTGCCCTCCACCTTTGTGCAGCAACCAGAAGAAGATGACATGGCTGTATTTAAATAAATGTAGATGGTTGTACATGAAAAAAAAAACCACTCCCTGAAAATAAGCCCTAATGCATTTTTGGAGCAGAAATTAATATAAGACCCTGCCTTATTTTCGGGGAAACATGGCAGCATTAAATGTAAACAATTTTATACTCTGAATAAACAGTATAAACAGCAGACAACAGGCAACTGGGCTAGGCTGCAGGGACTCCCAGTTGCTCATCCTTCTCATTATGGAGTTGCACTTTATTTCTCCTGGATATGCCAATAAGAGAGCAAAGAGTTTTTAAGTTCTTTTTGTGATCCACAGAACAAAGGGTGGCAGAAGTCATCACCAGTGCCTTGGTTATACCATACACCCCACACTCTCACTCACACAGCAAAGTCTGCAATCAAATACTCTTTGACCGCTCCATCCCATGCGAACAGCGCATGTGGCTCTGTCACGTAACACTATTGACATGTCAACAACAGGTTGGCTCCTTGTACATGAGGCCAGGAGTCAGACCTAAAGCACTGAAACACTGAGATGCACATCTGTAAGGCTTCTGACGTTGTTCATATTATGTGGGGGAGTTTAAGGAGTCCTTGGGGCAGGATATAGGATGCACAGCCTTCCAGGTGGTATTGGACTGTAAATCTTACTGGCCCTACCCAGCACAACAAATAGTTTTTTAAAAAATGCCAGGAGCTGCAGTCCAACAACCTCTGGAGGGCACATCTTCCCCACTCTTACCTTAGGCCAAGTGTGACTTACTCAGGATGAGCTAGTTGGTGGAGCCACTGATGTTGCTCCTTCATACTTTACTAAACTCTAAGAGGGGTTACATTTTGAAGCTAGCTATTGGACAGGGACATACATACACAAAACTTTAAAGTTAAACTAGAAAGTTCATCCTGTTGCTCCTGAATGTTTGTCGTGTCTAAAGAATTTCAGAAATAATCCAAATACAAGCTCACTGGTGTTTTCCCTTGAACGTCTGCATGAGAGAACAAGAATCCTCATTTTGCAACCAAAGAGTAGAGAGGCTGAAGGGCACTGACTGACCAAAGATCACAGAATAAACTGACAGGAAATACAGAACGATGGTTTTCTTGAAAGTGAGAACAGGCATGATAAAATTCAGCAATCTGAAAACGAGTAAATGCTAGATAGATGATATGTACTAGTGCCTCTAATGGCAACATTATACTGTACAATCTAATAATAATCCATTGTTAGCTGGAAAATACAATTTTTACCTCACTGATCACTTTTACCTCAACCAACCTCTCAGCATCTGCTGCCTCCCCCATGCATGCAGACAGTACATCGTACAAAGTTGCTATGAAAATGACTCATATAATGAACACAAACCCAAGCAACCTGGAAAAGTACATATAAATAATAAGCATTTTATAATATTATGTTTAAGCTTTTATAGACAATTTCCAGATAAAACAGAAACATAGGTAAGAAAGATAAAGACTAGCAATTCAAATAAAATTCCACAGCCAGGCTGGCAAGACATTTTGTTCCACTAGATCTCATAAGGGTAGATTCTTGCAAGCCCTTTTTTCACTCATTGGCAATCTTTGCATATGTGGATAAAGTAAGTACTAGTAACACAGACCAAGAGAAGCTGTAATTTGAATTTTGTAAAGTTTCTGCTTGGGTTGGTTGCATGCATCCAGTTCAAATAAAATTCAAACATGCAGTGTGTATACTAGATAGTACGGCCCTTGGGCCTATTAAATACTAGTGTATCACTGTACAGGTTTAGCAACAAATAGCTTATGATATCATTATTTTTAAATGAACACCCACATTAAAAAAAAACTTGCTACAGGCAGAGGTTGCCACAGAACCAAAGCCAGAGCCCAAAGCAAGCAATTATTTACGCTATTAGAAAGAGAAATCAGTGTGATTTATTGCTTACCTGCCACCCACAGCAAAGTCAGAAATGGCATAATAATAGGACTTGAGAACTTTAGGATCATTGAAAACTTCATCTCCAAAGGTGTTCAGGCGATTGAGGCTCACTCTGATATCAGTAGCTGTTACCCATTCCTAGAAGGGAAAACGGGAGTGAAACAGACAAGTCACCATTACACACAATATATAAAGATGTCATTGCTCTTCTCACATAAAGGATGCAGGGCATTTAAAAGGAGTGCAAGGAAGGAGAAGCAACATGTGTCATGGAGAGAAATAAGAGGAAAAGAATGAGCTTGGATGAAAAATACCCTGCAGCAGTATGGCAAGGAGGAAGAGACACAAAAGACAAAAATGTGTACTGAACCAGAAAAAAAAAGAGAGTTCAAAACATTAGTTAAAACTGCTAGTACAATTTTCTTGTGTAAAGAGACACTTTGCAACTCAGAGAAACTGTATGTAGAGTAAGGTTCCCCTTGACATTTAACCCAGTCGTGTCTGACTCTACAGCGTGGTGCTCATCCCCGTTTCCAAGCTGTAGAGCCAGGGTTTTGTCCGTAGACAGTTTCCGTGGTCACGTAGCCAGCATGACTAGACATAGAACACCATTACCTTCCCACCAAGGTGGTACCTATTTATCTACTTGCATTTTTACATGCTTTCGAACTGCTAGGTTGGCAGGAGCTGGGACAAGCGATGGGAGCTCACTCCGTTGCGTGGATTCGATCTTATGACTGCTGATCTTCTGACCTTGCAGCACAGAGGCTTCTGCAGTTTAACCCACAATGCCACCACATCCCTTGTATGTAGAGTAGCTTATATTAAAAAGTAAACTATTATAGGTGTGTTCATAGAAGGCTACCGAATATCAAGTACTTATGCGTAAGCATGTCATAAATATAAGATGCAAAACCAATAAAGAGTCTTACAGCACTTTAATGATGCAGATGTTGGATTCAGGAAAAGCTTTCATGGACCACAACCCACTTCATCGGATGTATGGAGTATTTGTTAACAGGTAGGATGCACTTGCTAGGCTTGAGAGGTGATATGGAAAAATAAAAATCCCAAATAATCAACTTGGCTGTTTTCTTAACAGTAATTAGTTGAAAAACAGTAGCTGGGAGGGGAAAATGATATCCTACCTTAAATAAGTAGATGTATGAATCTGCTTATCTATGTTAGCACATCTTCATTACCTCCCAGTGACTGTTCATTAAATGACGACTATTCAGATAACCATCCATGTTTATACCTTTTGCACTTCCATTCCCAGGCCCCTCTCTCTTCCATCAAAACATGTCTATAACATCCATCTATAGTACCAACTAAACAGCAAGTGCATTTTGTTCATTATTTTATTATGAAAATATGTGTCCCACTTTTCTAAGCCTCAAAGCTGAACCATCTGAGTCAGCCTGTATAAACATGTTTAAAAACACAATCACAATGTTAATAGATGAACAACAGAACAATTATGGGAGGAAAAGACCTATAAAAGCTATGAAAGAAAAAAGCCAGGAAAAATCACTAGCACAGGTTGGTTTTCAGAAAGTCAAAGGATTCCATCAGAAAGGAGGGGACTGTATAGATCTTGCATTCAAGAAGACAGGTACCAAAACTAAGAAAGCTCACTGACATGATTCCACCAAATGTACTGCAATAGTGTGGGCATCATTCATCATATGACTTCTCTCCCTGATCTTTACAGATAGGCAGAATCAGATCACAGGAGATTGTTAACTCAGTATTCTGCATTCAAAGTATGTAGGAATTTATGTGATACAGAAGTGGTACAACAATCGGTGTCACTAATAGGAGTGGAGTGCTTCAATAAAAATCAGAATGACTTCTGCTACCAGCCTATGATTACATACAGCTTTGTATATGATCCTACATGGCAGCACATTGCAGAAAAACTGTAAATTGAGGCATGTATGACCATAATAGTGTGCCTCTCGTACTACCAAGCTCAACTGGCACAGCAGTTAAAGCCAAGAAAAGCTCTAGATATAGCTGTTGTCAGTTCATTTTTTCTTCACACTATTATCTTTTTTAAAAAACCTTCCAACAGAAGCATAAAGAAGTTATGGATGCATGTACGTGTCCCAAGCAGCTCATGTGTAGAGTTAAGGATAGAGCACACATCCCAGGACATAGCACCAAGTTGCAATTTAACAAGCAACAAGATGTAATGCCAAGGTGTCCTTGTGGTACCACAACTGTGATACCATGGGCCCAGACTGTCCTCCTTTATTCTTTCTGCCAAATTCCAATTCCATTTCTCAAATTAAAACTCAATTTCAATTTTAAATTCTAGTTTGCCCCAAGGTAGAGAACTGCCACACACAAAGGGAAAAAGGAGCATGAAAACCTAAAGATTCAGCTAGGCTCCAGCAGAAGATGCCAAGAAATGGCTCAGTGTTATATCTGGCCAATCTGCATATCTCCAAAAGGAGGGCAGAACATGGTATAACAACAAAACAAACACCTAGAGAGGCAAGAATAAGATGGAATTTGCACCTAATCCATTACTATCATTCTCTTCTTTATTTAGAAAGTTTTACAAATACAAATTCAGGAAGTGAAGTAGGTGGGTGCTAGGAGATATTCATGCACGCACACACAAAGAGAACAAAAAAGTTGAACATTCTATTTTCATTCCAGATTCCTCTCATTGCTTTTCCCAGTGATCCACCAACACCTAAGGGAATTAGGCACAAAGATTCCCAAGTGGGAGTCCATCTCTAACATTGCTGCTCTTTAAAAGAAAGAACCAAAACTGATACCTCCTTTCAATGGCTGTGGATAGTCATGATGAATATAACCTTTATGATCAAAGTGCCTAATTTTTTCCTGCTCATTTCATGGAGTAGCAGTTCTGAAATATGTTGACAACTATTGGAAGAGGAAACAGGTGGGACCCATGGAAAAACAAGTTCCACAACAATGCAGTGACCACTTTATTTTCCTTAAGAGGAAGAAGTCTGTTTTTCCTTTTAGGAGTGAGCTGATGTAAATGTAACAGGATAAAAAATTGGCACCAGTTTTTGCTTGTGAAGAATGGCAGAAGCATTATGCGCCAAAAAAGCCGCCACAGGGACTAATTTCTATGTTCTTTCTCACTAATTACCTGTACACTAAAACTTATTTTTCATTTTGTACTAGGGATGGGGTTTTCAGGTTTTCTGGACTATAAATGCCATAGTTTTCCATTCTGGGAGTTCAACCTACCTTACAAAAACCTCACTGTGTTGCCCCTAGGACAAAGGCCTAAATCGGAAGGCCCTGAGGCTTAGCTAGACGTTGCTTTGTCCAACCTCTCTATTCTTGCCCTGGTATTAGGTGGAAGCTTTCTTTCAGAACAGAAAGCTTGGGTGGAGTCTAATTAAGCCTCAAAGCTTTCCAATTTATGTCTTTCCTCAAGTGCCTCACATTTAGGCATCTGTAAGGTGTCTGTAACAAAGGCAGAACTCCCAGAATGGAGATCTATAGTATTTATGCTCCCCACATGGGGCTGCTCTTGAAGGTGGCTTAGAAACTGCAACTGATGCAGAACGCTACTGCCAGGTGGGTCTCTGGAACATCCCAATATGACCATATATCTCCTGTCCTGGGCCTTCTGCACTGGCTGCCTGTATGCTTCTGGGTTAAATTCAAAGTGCTTACGCTGGCATTTAAAACCCTTCATGGTTTAGGACCTTGTTATCTATATGAGTGCCTCTCCCTCAAAATATCTACCTGACCTACTCATACCTCTTATATGGGGATGCTCTGAATGACCACCTTGGAGGAGGCCCGGAAGTCTACCAGCTGTAACCTGGCCTTCTCTATGGTATCACTTCACTCTGGAATTCCCATCCACCAGAGGTGCAGCGAGCCCTATGCCTCCTGGGTTTGAGGAGGCAACTTAAGACCTGTCAGTTCTCTCAAGCCTTTCTGTAGCTTGCCCCAAAGTAATCTTATGTATCCCTCTCGGCCTCCCAGCCATGAATTTTGTTGCATCCTGTGTGTTTCTCTTGTTTATTGCACCCTCGGACCATGCTTATCATGGTCCTGGAATTTGGAATCTTTTGATTTTTTTAATTGCCTTTCTATTATTGTTATGTTTTGTTGTGTCTGTCACCCAGAGAAATAGCTTTGCTACTAGTTTGGCAGGATAAAAATATCGATAAATAGATAAAGTTTCAAAAAATCCCATCCCTTATTTGTACTCTATTCTCTCAGCAAGGAGCTATTGCATTAGTGTATTTCTCTTGCTCATTTCAGGAAGTGAACTTTTTTTAAAATGAATGACACTTTGGGATCTATATCTGCTTATCCCTGACAACACCCAAGAATTGCTGCCTCCTGCTCCTTATTACGGAAAATTTTTATTTGTCACAATGGAGGGAGGCACAGAAAGAAGCAATGGCATGGAAAAATCTTATTCAGGCAGGAGTAGGCAAGTTTTCTGCCCATAATGGCTACAAGCAGCAGAGGTAGTGGGTTGGTTCTTTGCATCAGTAGGAACATCGTAAGTCAATATTCCCTACCACACCCTGTGGGGGTGTGGGTGTATCCGCGTGCACATACACACATAGAGAACAGTTCTTCCTTTCTCTCTCTCTCTCAATCGCTGTAACACACACAGAGAGAGATACACATACAAACACACAAACATTGGTGAGTGGCATATAGAGAAGTGAGGGTTAACCTTCTCTGCCACAACACCTGCAACTGGAATTTAACAGCAGGAAAAATGTGGCCTGTATGGAGGGGGACTGGGTGTGGATTGGGGGATACCCCAAAGGCTGCACTGCAAACCTCTGACAATGGCCTCTAAAGAAATCTCAGGCATTTAAGGAAGAGAAAGATCAATGAAAATGCCTTGTGTTTGGTTCTCACTGTACTTAATGTGACAGGATTTCAGAGACCTGAACTGTAAGAAGTGAGATGTACCTGTTACAGTCTCTGACCCAGTACTAGTTTTTCTTACCTGTAAGACAGGGCTGTTATCAAAGTTATAAGCACTGGGCCTCCCTTCAAGTGTTGAAAAGGCCACATTGCCTCCTGTGAGTGGAGAGATGTCACTGAATTCATCTGTACAAAGTGCCTGCTGTTCATCCTCCCCGGTCCTGATGAAGCCTCGGTTGGCTTTCTGATAGGTGTTTTCACAGGAGCCACTATAATACTGGTAAGGGACCCATGGACCATCCTCCCGAGTCCGCTTGTAGATGGCAAAGCTCTCTGGCCGGCTGGTATGGAATTTCAGGCGTACATACGTAATATCAAAGGCCTTTCCTAAAATGAAAGAGGAAAAAAAGTTGAAGAGACAACAAATACAGGTAAAGATAAAATAATTTCAACATTCCTTTCAATGATATCAGAACATTGGTTTTTGGTTTCTTCAAAATACTCACATGAGCATACCAAAAGGACAATGCAACATGACATCTAATCACTTTCCTACTCAAATATGCCAAGTATGCAATTATATCCAGCAACACATGAAGGAGCATCTTCTTCCATATTATCCCACCCATGTCTTAAAATCTTCAGGAGTCCCTCCTCTGAGTGACATCACAAGGAATAACACACATATATATATATATAAGAGAGGGCTTTCTCAGTGGTATCACCATAACATCAGATATTTACCACTGATGCTAACAGAATGTTACTTTCTTTTCAATTCCTAACTCAAAACATTTCTCTTCCAGGCATTTTAAATCACAAATATAAAACTAAAAACAAACAAACAAAAAACAGAAAACCCATCTGCCATGAACTTTTGGGACTTCAAATTTTCTGCACTAATGATGAAGCACTGGTGCATGCCTGAAGAAGTGGGCATTAATCAATGAAAGATAACAGATGATATGATACATTTTTAGTGTTCTATAAAGGTATCATCTAGTCCTGCATTGTATTGTGTAAGAACTACATGGCTCACTTAGATTTCAACAGAATAATGAACGGAAATAACGCGCGCGCGCACACACACACACACCACCAACAAGAAGACACGTGGATTCTCAATGTCAACCATGCAGATCTGCAAGCTGAAGGAAACATCTATTTTTAACCTCTAGGTAATATTAATTTGGCTTTAATTTGGTTCTATCTAACAAGTTTACTAAATATACACCCCAATTCTCATATATACGACTCTGGGTCTTTCGTGTTACCCTATTATTAGCCAAATAAAAACCTATAGTTTCAAAAGGTGGCCACAATGCACAATGCCTGGGCTTCTTTGTCTGAAGAACTGGAGTGTGATCTCCAATAAACAGCTTTCTCAGCTTTAAATTTAGAACCACAGCTCCAATTACGGGCTACACCTTTCAAAACTTACATCTAAGAAATACACCTGGCAAATCCATCTGTCATGAACTTTTCGTACTCTAAATTCTCTGCACTAATGACAAGACACTGGTGCATTGCAAGACGTTGGCACTGATCCACAAAACCCAGCAGATTGTATGATTTTTTTTTAGTGGTCTATAAAGGTATTGTGCTGGCTGGACAGCTCAGCAGTTTAGGTGTCTGGCTGCACAGCCAGAGGTTGGGAGTTTGATTCCTCACTCAGCCTCCTGTGAATAGAGACCACCTGTGTGGCCTTGAGCAAGCTGCACAGTCCCAGGATGCCCCCAAAAGGAGGGACGGGTAAATCACTTCTAAGTATTGCCAACCTGGATAACTCTGAAAAGGCTCACCATGAGTCAGAAATGACTTGATGGTACATGATTATTATTACAAAGGTGTCATCTACTCCTGTATTTTACTGTTTAAGGACCACACAGCTCTCTTCAATTTCTGTGTAAACTAATATCTGATTGTAAACATTATTATACAGCAACTAAAACCCTGTAATTGTAAGTTATACCGCGTAAGGGTACTGATGTTATGAGCTATGGCAATTTTTCAGAAATTAATTATTTCCAATTTATCCCCTGAAGGTCCTAAGGCACCCATGAAATCCCCTTCACTGCCAGGAAGTTATTGGGGGCTAGAAGACAGGATTCTGCTTCATGGATTGCTGGCTTGTCCTGGCAAAGGGGCTTGAGTAATTCAGAGAAGATATGGACTATGCCATGCAGGAACACCCAAGACGGACAGGTCAAACTGAGTGGTTCTGACTAAACGCGATTCACATGGAGCAGGAACTGGCAGGAACTCCAGAATCTTTGCTAAGAAAACCCCATGAACAGA